TTTTTTTATGTTTTGGATGATATAAAGACTTTTATAAGTTATAACCTATAAGCATATATAGGTTATAGGTGAAATGACATGAAGTCTTTTGTTTCTTTTTTCCCTTTTCTTGTAATAAGTAATGTTCTTTGGGGAATAAAATTGCAAAGTAAAACTAAGATAAGGGTGAAATGATAGAATTTAAATCAAGGGACAAACGAAAATTGAAAAATTTAAACGCTAATATATATATATATATATATATATATATAATTTTTTTTTATCTGCTTTTTCAATTTTAGAAGAACATGTAAAGAAAGTTAACCAAAAGAAGGTGGTGCAATGAAGAGAGTGAAAGTGGTGGTTTAATGAAGAGAGTTAGAATGGTGGTGAATTGAAGAATCAAATGAAAATAGTTGGGAAGAATGCGAAAACAATGAAACAAAGTATGTAGCTGTTGTTATTCAATAAAAGAAAGCAGAATGTCGTGATTATGTTATATAAATTAAGTAGAAGACTTGGTAAATAGTGTCCAAAATGAACATGAAAAGACTTGAGAAACTTATACAGCCCGCATCAATCATAACGTTAGTACATGACATTTAAACCAATAATTCAACTCCTGCATAAACCGATTCATGTCTTAGTTAGAGGATTCAAAACTTCAAAATTAACGTTTATTCGATAAAAGAGCTTGTTTTTCTCTATGAGAGCGTCTTAGGATTTTTGCCATAGCAGAACGAAGGAGAAAAATTACGTGATGGTTAGGGTTTCATTATTGGGTATGGATTTATAGATAAATCTTATTTTGCTTGTTAATTTTATTTTGTACTTGATGATAATTATGTAATAGGGTAATAAAGACATTTCATGTAGAAAGAGGTTAGAGCATCTCCAAATGAAATGCCAAAATGTACACATCAACTATAATAGTAAAAAAAGACCACACTAATATTCTCCAACCGAAGTGCCAAATCTTATGTGGCAATGACATGGAAAAAAGGTTGCGGTCAAATTTGACAACAACTTCAAATGTTTTTTTTATTAATTATTAAATGTATTTTATTAATTTTTAATTAGTTTAATAATTTATTATAATTAATGTTGAGTTGACCAATACAACTATCATATTTTTTTTTTCTTATTTTCAATCAAGGAAGGTGATCAGATTACCGATTAAACTTTAAATGTCTTTTATTAAATTTTAATTAGTTTAATAATTTATTTTATAAAATAATAAATTTAATTTGATATATCAGTTGGAGAACAAAACTTAAAAGATGTCAAAGTGCCACAAAAACTGTCAAAATTTAAATTTTACGTTCAAAATTTGACATTTCCTTTGGAGATGATCTTAGATGAGTTCAAATAAAGTTTTTCAGTTAAATATCCCTAAATTTATTAAAAAAAATAAAATCTCTCAATTAAATAAGGGGTGTGCTATCCACATACCTGTTTTTACTTCTCACACACCCTTATTAATTTCTATCCGTTGATCTTCTTTGATTCATTCAATTCAACGGTTAAAACTAAAAAAGTGTGGAAGAAGTAAAAGGGATGTGTGGATACCACATCCCTAAAATAAATGAGAATTTTAACGAAAAACTCCAGGTTGTGTTCACTTTAACGAAAAATCATATTTTTACACTAAAAATCAATCATAATTCTATTCACTTTACCTTTTTATTTTGTCATTATCAAAGTTTTCAAATCATTTTCATTAGTTTTTTTAAATAAATCTCCCTAAAAAAATGTAAAAACCAAAAAAGTTTAGCATATATCTACCCGCGCCTGATTCTCCATCCAAAAAGTTCATGTCAAAGGAAAAAAAAAAAAAGAGAAAATTGAAAATTGAGAAAAATAGTTATTGCGCCCATCCACCCTCACTAAATTCAGCATTTGTCCGTTTCCACGCCCCAAACCCAAAACATTTCGCAATGGCGCCCATCGACCCTCACTCGTTCACTGATTCGACTCACCCACTCGCCACCCACATTTCCCTCTCCTTCTTCTTCGACTTCCCCTCCTCCACCATCCACGCCTCCGCCCTCCTCACCCTCCCCTCCCCGTACTCCGGCCCAGTTTCCCTCGACGTCCGTGCCCTCACCGTCCACTCCGTCATCGACCCCCAAAACCCCTCCGATCCTATCTCTTACGTCATCTCCCCTCCTGACCCAATCAAAGGCTGCCACCTCGCCTTCACCCTCTCCAACGCCTCCTCCGTCTTGATCCTCTACTCCACCTCCCCCTCCTCCTCCGCCCTCCAGTGGCTCTCCCCTCCCCAGACCTTCAACAAACGGCTGCCGTTTGTCTACACCCAATGCCAGGCCATCCACGCGCGCTCCGTCTTCCCCTGCCAGGACACTCCCGCTGCGCGTGTGCGCTACGCGGCCAAGCTCAATGTCCCCCGCCAGCTCTCCGCCGTCATGTCCGCGCGTCACGTGGACCGCCGCGACCCAATCCCCGGTGAGGGGTCGGCGCTGATCTCTGGCGACGCCTTGTGGTGTGCCGACGACAGGGTCGTCGAGGAGTTCGTGATGGAGCAGCCAATCCCGCCGTACCTGTTCGCGTTTGCCGTCGGTGAGCTAGGCTACCGGGAGGTGGGCCCGAGAACTAGGGTTTACTCTGAGGCGGTGCCGGCGGTGCTTGAATCGGCGGCGACGGAGTTTGCGAGCACCGAGGACATGATCAGGCAAGGGGAGGCCTTGTTTGGGCCGTACGAGTGGGAAAGGTTCGATCTCTTGGTGCTGCCGCCGAGCTTTCCGTACGGTGGAATGGAGAATCCGAGAATGACGTTCTTGACGCCGACTGTGCTCAAAGGCGACTCCAGCGGCGCGCAGGTGGTGGCGCACGAACTGGCTCATAGCTGGACTGGGAACTTGATCACCAACAAGACTAATGAGCATTTTTGGTTGAATGAGGTACCAAAATTTACATTCATACATTCGTTTGATGGCATTAACTTTTCAATTCCTGATTATCAATTGGTTCAGATTCTCGGTTTTTATGTCGAAATTTTCGATAGATAGATGCTATTTGTTTTTGCCTATTTGATTGGTGCTAAGTTCAAATTTGATCAATGTTGTGATCTTGAAATGCTTGTTTTCTTCTTTTGACGTAATACTATCTGCCTACAGTGCATTTGAGGCCAGTTTTTAGTTTTGTCTTGTTAAAACCGCAATGTGCGAATCCTTGACGGAGTAATGCCGTGTAGGGTTAGGAGAATGTGAAGAATGAATGTCTTACTGATTACGAGCTTCCGGTTGCAGTTGATTATGTTGATCTATGTTATGCTCGTACTGTTCTTGGCAACGAGATCAGGGTGTTAATCTTTACTTATTGGTACAGGGTTTCACGACGTATGCTGAGAGGAGAATTGTTGAGGCTGTGCAAGGTGAGGACAGAGCTGCATTGAACATTGGAATTGGCTGGCGGGGTTTGAATAAGGAAATGGAGAGGTTCAAGGATAACTTGGAGGTCACAAAGCTGAAAACCAACCAGGAAGGAGTTGACCCAGATGATGTGTATTCTGAAGTTCCATACGAAAAGGGTTTCCAGTTTCTGTGGCGCATTGAACGTCAGGTATGTTGAAATTGTAACTTCTTTTGTTTCTTGGTATTGACCTGTAAAGACGATCTGATTGGCACTTGGTTTTAAAAATATAAAGGTTGGAAGGCCTGCATTTGATGAGTTTCTGAAGAAATACATTGCCACCTTCAAGTTCCAATCAATTGATACCGATACATTTCTCGACTTTCTGAAAGCAAACCTACCTGGAATAGAGAAAGAGGTTGACTTAGTGTTGTGGACTGAGGGCACTGGTATCCCTCCTGATGCGTATGAACCGGTTTCTAACATATATGCAAAGATTGTGTCCATGGCAAATGAATTTAAGTTTGGTAGGATGCCAGGGGCGGATGAAGTTGCTGACTGGAGAGGGCAGGAGTGGGAACTCTACTTGGAGAACCTCCCCAAGTCTATTGAACCTTTACAGGTACTGTTGTGTTTCTTCTCTTCTAAGATTTTCGTATTACCTTGTTTTCTATTACTTGATTTTATAGCGGCCTTCAACACACTTTTTGTAGTTAATTTCTTAGTTTGTTTAAGCTCTGCAATGCTGTGGCAATTCCCAGGTAATCATACTGAGCTTAGTAAGTTTCGCGTTTTCGTTTTCTTTCTGCATTGAAAAGTTAAATTTAAGTAAACATCTTCTTGTTTTCTCAGAACCGAAAATGTTAATATTGTCAATTATTAGAATACATTTCTGAGTCAGCTTCAGTTCCCATTTTACCGTCGAATCTCTCCAAACTTTTATGTTGTCTCATCATGATTTATGTATTTGCAGATTGTAGAGTTGAACTCGCGCTTCAGTCTGTCAGAATCGAGAGATTATGACGTGAAGGTGACATTTCTCCTGCTGGCCATTGCTTCCAAGTGCAAAGACTACTTCGGCGAGGTGGAAAGAACTTTGAAGGAAGTTGGGAGGAAGAAGTACCTTGTCCCCCTCTACAGTGCTCTTGTGGAAGGCAATGGAAAGGAGGAAGAGAAGATTTTGGCGAAACAGGTGTTTGCAGCCGCTCGCGAGACTTATCACCCTATAGCTCAGAGCGTTATCGAGACAATTTTTAACAAGCACTGCTGAAATGGTGTGAGAATGTAGATTACACATGAACAGAAATTCGGAAGCTAATCCTTGATGCCGTTGTTGGCTATATGCTAATCCCTGAGATCTGTAGGCTATACCTGATTTCGTTGAACACACGCATCCTTCTTGATGCTTTCGCTGATATGAATGATCTCGTAAATAAGAAGTAGCTCCTTTTATATCGCATTTGCTGATGCCTGATGATATTTTATGTATGCGTAAATTCGAAAACTCACAGGAACGCTATGCCTGCAAACTCAACTTTACTTGATGCATAACAGGAACGAGAATAATACTCGTGTAGTCCACTTTCGTAGGAGGATTACAACTTCTACGCTCATAGTTACAACCAAAACAATTACCTTAAACAGCGAAATTGCACAACGGAGCTTGGAATCTTGACATTTCTGTTCAACACCTCTTCTAACGCAATTTATCGGTTTGGGAATCATACACAACGGTAAAATCACTTTATGTGCAGAGTGCTACAACATTTGTGTTCCTGTAAATGTTTTCGCATCTCAATTCGTCTCAAAAACCTCGAAAAAACCTGTGCGAATGGAATTCGCTGAAGGACAGGCGCTTAACTGCAGTAGTGCATCAAATACATCAGAGAATAGCTAATGTATAGTCAGTTTTGAACACATACGTCAGGATGCGATGTAGAAAGGGCGTATGAAACTGAGGAAAGTAAAACGCTAAACCTGGATTTCGAGACAACAGTTTTGAACACATATCGACGGAGTCTGGATGCAATCTAGAAAGGATGACTTGGTCAAAAGGAAGGTATGTGGATGACTTGATGGTCTTAAGCACCTGGAAAGTAAAATTTATCAACGATCTGGGCAAGTGTGACCAAAGGGACCTTTTGCAATGAAAAGCAGAAGTTAGTACCTGAACATTAGTCCTACCAGGGAAAGGAGGGCGACCATTGAGAAGCTCGAAAAGAATTACACCAACGCTCCACATGTCAACCTATAAACTGAACCCGTCAATTTTGACTCATCGTGATTGAAAGGGGAAAATGGCACGAGTTATAGACAAGACCGTACCTTCCCGTCATATCTTTCAAACTGAAGAACTTCAGGTGCCATGTACAATGGGGATCCACAAACTGTCTCGGCATAATCACCTGGATGTAAACTTCTGTACAATATAGAAAAGAAAAGGTATTAAGGAATGAAACTACTACAGTTGGTTGCTTTAAATCATACTAAACGGGTTAGCGGATGAATTTCCGCATAAGGATCTCTCTGCTAGAGTTTACCTCGAGAGACCGAAATCAGCTACCTTTAGCACCACATCATCTTGAGTGCCAGAGAGTAGAATGTTCTAGTACAACAAAATCACAACGTAGGCAATTTTTGAACAAACCAATTCATTACTTCAATTTTGGATGCGAGCGAAAAAATCAACAGAATCGAGTTCAAAAAATACGAATATGAAACTGCATTTTGTTACCATCTTTCAGTAGACTCCTGTTTTTACCTCTGGTTTCAAGTCTCTATGAATGATGTGGTGCGAATGTAGTATTTCCAACGCCGCCCCTGCAAGCATAACAAGAAGTTGATTAGATTTTCAGACCGGAGAATCGAAGCGCTGTGGATCCCCATTACAAATTCACAGGGAACAATGCGAATAAGAAGCTACCGAGCTGCTGCATAAATCTCTTGGCAATACGTTCTTCAACTCTTCCGTGACGCCGAATATACGCAGCCAAATTTCCCCCATCACAGAATTCCAACACCATGAATACACAACCTTCATCCTGCAATAAAGACAGAAGCTCAACTTCGTGCAACCAAATTAAACAGTACTTGTACGTTGCGGTTAACTGCACTTGCAGACAAATTAACGTATCCACAACCAAACCGACCCATATTGGCAACTGTAAGTTCGCAGTATCAATAATATCAACAATATCGACAACATATTTATTTGACAGCATGTCCGCATTAAAAAAGTGCGGCAACGCAGAAAAACTTCAAAACCTGGAAAGAAGGCAACGCAGAAAAACTTCAAAACCTGGAAAGAACTGAGGAGGCGGATGATGTTGGGGTGGTTAACGGAGGACAAGAAATTGATCTCGCAATCCAAGCAATTCTTGAGGTGGCGATTGAGGCGGGAAAGGTGGACCTGCTTGAGAGCCACCACCTGGCCGCTTTGGCGGTGCACGGCTTTTGACACGGTGGAGAAAGAGCCTCGTCCCACCTCTGCAATTACAATGTAGTCTCCTTCTCCTTCTTCAGCTGTCTTGAGTCCCTTGCTTTCAGGTTCCATGGATTCTTCGAGCTGAGCTCTCAAGTAACAAGTGGCAACAGTTATTGCGGTTTTTCTGTTGGGTGGGGGTTGGTCGAAGGTTCCGGACCTTCTGGTGCTTAAATGGTATTAGGAGGGGTGAAAAATAACCTACATGACATTTTGGTGTTTACGGAAGCAAAATATTGGCCGACCGAGTGGTATGTTAGAATTTGTAAATTCCAGGGTCATTTTTGCCAACTTATCTTTTCAAAGTTTACTTTTGGGAATTGTTATTGGCACTCCAAAATTCTCATTCTATACTCCATGTTTTTTATATTTAGAAAGAAAAATACACTTGTGAGGAGTGTAGAATGTGATTTTTTGAGTGCCAATAACACTTCCCTTTCCTTTTTGGTTAAAGTCTCTTGTTCTTCTAAGGTCTTCATTTTAAGGATGAGAACCAAATGCATAAACTAATTTTCTACTTATTTTATTGTTTGGATTTATCAAGTTGTCAAATATTTTAAGCCTTTGGATCTTAGCTAATATGCATTTGATTCTCATACGTCCTTAAAATGAGGACCTTAGGAGAGCATGACTCTTTGGTTCAAGTAGGGTTTTCTTCTTTTTTTTTTGGGTCAAAAAACAGATTTTGTTAAATTAGAGGTTAGATTAATGACTGAAGAGGTTCGAGCCCGCATCATCGTGCAAGGACTCAACTCATTTTCATAAGAGGCAAGTAGCGTGCACCAGTAGAGGTTAAATTACAAGATAAGTACAATATAAAGAAAAGGACCTCCAAAACAGGTTTTGGAGCCCAAAATAGAAAGAAAACAAAGCAAAAAAGCAAAACACAAACCCTAGCAGCTTGCAACCCCCGCTACCGCTGTAGATCCACCAACGAGAATCAGGGAGTAGAAGGAAGTAGAGGACGCAGTTTGGGGCTAAGGACGGTGGGATCAAAGGCATATTAGGAGAGAGTAGGGGAAAACGCAAGCTGAAGCAAAAAGGAAAAGGAGCATGAAGTTACCACCGACCCTAGCCACAACTATTAATAGGAATTTGTTGTAAACACTTGAAAATATGTCATGCTATTTCACCTTTATTTTTTATTTTTTTCCTTCACTCGAGAGGAATGCATGGTGACATTTTTAGGGTGCCAGTGACAACTCCCGTAATTATTTGTTGTATTAATTAGATTCGAGCAATTCAACATTCTTGTAGTAAAAGCAAGTGCGCTTATGAGCGTTAACAACCTACAGAAGTTCCTTCCCTCTTCAGAATGTAGTCCACTGCCTCTTGTACAGTATCTACAACCTACAGAAGGAACAAAAGCGAAGGAACTTCTTAGCGTAGAATTCATTTCGCCCGCAACCAAGTATTCTAGTAATATGTGCACATGTGCGCGAACACATATATATCCAACTTACCAGGTCTGCTGGAAACTCAGCATGATTATCTCTGCCCTTAAAAACGCCGGTCCTCGTCAAAATAGAAAACCAAGGATGTCCAGCCTGAGAATCAGGTGTGATGATTTGTCAATGCACATTCAAATCATTTAACGGTAGAAACTTGTCACCACAAGAAACATGACAAACAAACCTGCCGAGCACCTTTGACATCAACTGAAGGGTTGTCGCCGATCATATAAAGGGTTTTGAAAGCATGTGACGGAGAGTCTCCAGCAGTTGTAATATCATTATCACAATGAGATGGTTGAAGCTGTGCCAACAGAGTTTCAGTGTTCTCAAATACAAACGGATTTGGCTTCCCAAAAGATACATATTCCAGAGCATCATGGTGAATTCTGCAGCAAAGCCAAACATAAATCATATTACTACATGGTAGATATCCAGAATAACTCACTAGTTTAAATGTGCATGAGCATGCTTTTTTCATATAAGTAGTTCAAGATTTTAAAATCATATTTCAGTTGTGCTTAGTTTCCCAAAACAAATCAATTATCTCTGCTAAACTTTCTTCAATCATCATCAATTTGATCTTGTAAAACTCTCTTAATGGATGAGCTATGACAATTACCGGGCTTCTCAAAAGGGATCAAAGAAGCAATGCTAAGATATCGTATTGGCCATTTATGGGCTCAAGTAGTTACAACCGAAGAGCCCTTTGACTAAATATTCGATCAGATGTGCATCACTGAAAAGGTACACCAATTAGGCGTGACAAAACAGCCAGTCTCACCGGTTGAAGATGCTTTCTAGTGCAATTCTGAAAGCACCCATTCCAAGTCGCTCAGAAGGAAATGCAGCCTGTATGTAGGCAGCTTATCAGTACAATCCTAATCATCATGTGAAACTTCAAGTTGAATAAAAAGTAAGTTCATGATGAAAATAAGAGTGAATGAATTCTACTCTTCCAAAAGGCAAGGGAATGGAGCAAATCAACCAAATAGAACCCTTTTATTAGATATGAGGGTTCATTAAAAATGTTCATGGGAATAGTCAAGGTTCAATGGGTTTCAGCAAGCGGATCACATACTCAAGAAAAAATAATGGGACCATAGTTAAATAAGGGTTTCCTCTTTCAGTTTATTCTAACGATAATGTGTCACGGTAAACCAAACAAATCTCAGGTTGTTTCTATATCTCCATATTCACGGTCCAGCATCTTTAGAGAGGGAAAATCATAGTGACCAACCTGATACTCAAGACCATCTGCGGCAAAATATAGAGGTGGTTGATGCCCGTTCTCTTGTCCAGGAAGCCCTCCAGATCTTAGAATGTCACAGAGAACCTAAACCAATTCATGAACCAGCTCAGAGCTTTTGCAGGAACACAAATGATCGAGGCCTTCTGGAATAACATGACGGTATTGCAGCTCCCAAAACTTTACTTTCTAGTTCATAATAAGCATGCAAAATTTGGCAATTTATGTGGGAAATGAAACTGTTATGCCAAAAGAAGCTATAATTTGAGATCCTAACGCACAATGATTCCTTAATACTGCGTTGTAAGCAGCGAAATGAAGTACCTGAATATCCCTACCCCAATCCACAGGATCGCTGACAACAAAAGCTGCACTAACCCTGTCAGAATAAACATCATATCTCGGCACAAACTCCTTGTGTTGGCTACTGCAATCCGATGTCTGCTTAGTTCTCCACATCTTATATTGGGATACAGGATCAATATTCTTGAAGTGCGATGCATACTCATCTAATGAGAGAACCTTTCTGCCACCCAATATAAATTTAGCTATCTGTTACTTTTACAAAATCTAGCAACAGAAGGTATGGAATTCAAAACCAGAAGATGCTACAATTAAGAACGGACATACACTGTAAGGTAAAACTTACTTGAAACCATACTCAGACATTACAAGAGCCGGTTCCCCTTTTCCCAGAGCAACAATGAGTTCATTTTCATATCTGAATAAAAAGGATAAAAATAGACATAACATAAGATGATGAAAACAGGTCAATACATTGTTATACTCTGAACCATAAACAAAGTCATGGCCCAAGGACGTATGTGCACAGGAAAATTGAATTCTTATTATAACAAAATGAGGAATAAGGCTCCGTGCAAGAGATGCTCTTAAAGGGCGGATGTATAGAACCTTTCAACGAGATAGTGCTTTTTCAACTTTCTCAAAATGAATATCCAAAAAGTACCAAACAGAGGTATGCGATAGGAAAAGATATGACTATTTGACACGGAGGGACAATTTCACCTATGGGAACAAGCTGAGTGAGCGTTACTCAGGAATTTCATCTTTTGGGGTCTCCGATGGAAAAAGAGTTAGCTATTAGCTCCGATGAGATTTATCTCCAAATTTGGCTATTATTCAGTATCAGCATAAACAACATTCAGGAACTTCCAAACCAAAGAATTTCAATTTGGCAGACACGAAATATCCCCCAAATTTTGTATTTGTCTAAGTTGTCTACCCACTTTCGATCCCTCTAGCTCATCCAACATGTAAAGTAAGAACAATTTCTGTGGCCTTGGTTGCATGATATTTCCTACGATATAACACTGTTACTCAAAGATAGCACAGAAACAAGGAGACCATTAATCAGACTAAGATTTATACCTAGAAAGATGAAGAAGAGTATGACACATTGACATTGAATTAAAAAAATCTCTGTAGAAAAAGATTCATGTGAAGCTGATTTATACCTCGTCAACAAATTTTTAAAAGGTGTGTGACCCTGAACAACCTGCACCACCATAACACAGAAAAGAGAGCTATGCCAAAGGTTCCATCAGTCAAATTACAGTCGCAGAAAATGGGAGACAACACAACGTCGTCCTTATGCTCATAATAATCAAAGAATTAGATCTCAGAATATTACCTGAGAAGGCAGGATGTTAACTCCCAAAATTTCAGTTAACTCAGTTGCTCGTCTTGATTCAGGGACGCCACCTCCTGTTCCAACCAAATCCATTACTCAACCAAATGAAATTCGAACAAAAATCCAATGCAATTACAATGGGGGCAGATACACTTTCCATAGAAATTTATCATATATACTAATTCTTCGCAATGCTACACGAAAACAAACCGCTTAGGTGTCTTACCGTTGGTCAAAAACACAAAGGGAACCTTCAAAGTACCTACAAAGAAGCAATAGTTTTATTAAGCTAGTGAGACCATCCTTTCCTTACAATCTAAACTACGAGAAGCGGGATTCAAACTTGCTGCCATGTCCGCTCTAGCCAATGTAGCTACAACCAAACCAACGATCACAATAATACAAAACCAAAATTCTCTATTTTTTATTTCAGATTTCTGAAAAATAAACGAAATTTCTGAATTTAGAGAGAGAAAGATGAAGTTTTTATTGCACCTGAATGTCCGTACAGTTTCCTCAAAGCTCGAGGCGACCCTCCCACCGGAGCCCGGCCGCGGAGAATAACCCCGTCGATGTCGAACGCAATCCCAAACGAAGACCTGAAATGCAATCAAACACATGTTTTCAACTTTTTTCTATTCCCTTCCTACAGTTTCTCGGCAGCCAAACAGAGGATTTGGATCATTGAATTGGACCAACCGTTCGGGCCTGGATTGTCGATAATTGGACTGAGAGTAGGGACGGAATTGGAAGAAAAATGGCGGTCTGTTTTTGCACTGAGAAATCCGATAGACCGCGCGGTATCTCATCGGCGTCATCTCTCCCTCTCCCTCTCTAAGCTTTGCTCTGTGTGCTCCGTGGCTAACACTATAACGGTAAACGGTCTCGCTTCGGCGCGTAGTACGCAATTGTGAACCTCACAGAAGTTAGAACGCCACGTGGCAAACCTAAAAGGGTAATTTCAAAGTGACGATTATATCCTTTTAATTCTCAAAATCAGTTTTTTTTTTAATTAAAAACAAGAGGAAATTAGTTGATGGCTACAATCCAACTTTTAAGGACGGGAAAATTCAAAAAGACATTTTAATCTTAGCTTACTATTGTTTGATTTATCAACACTACAAATCGAACACAAAATGTATTATTTGAAATACGGCCTGAAATTACTCAACAATTTGTTATTAAATTTTTATTTAATTTTTTATTTAATTTTAGTTTTAAAAATAGAATTTTAATGATTTTGCTTAACAGTCAAAATTCACCACTAGTCAATAGTAGCAAGAAAGTTAGGGCAAAATGGGCATCTTATCCCAGCCAATCAAAAACACTCCCAAGTCCTCACCCTCGTCACTCTACCGCCGTTCGCTCATCCTTCTCGCGCCTCAGAGAGGGCTGTCGAAAACCCTAAGCGCCATCTCATTCAAAATTAAGCAAATCCGTACCGAGTTCATAACTTTCATTCAATTCGGAAACCACAGATTGTTCAATTTCCCCCCTTTTTACTATTGATTTTTCTGTTTGTTGGATTCGAAGGAGCCATGCCGCCAAAGGCATCGAAGGCCGACTTGGCGAAGAAGCAGAAGGTGGTGGAGGACAAGACCTTCGGGCTCAAGAACAAGAACAAGAGCAAGAATGTCCAGAAGTACGTCCAGAATCTCCAGCAATCTGTCCAGCCCAAAGTAGACCCCACCAAGGCTAAGGTCACACTCCCGCTTTTCGTTATTCGGATCCTTTTTCGTATCTCTGTTGTTTTTTTCCCTGTTGGGTTCTGTTTGGATAAGCAGAAATCAGCTGAGAAAGTAAATTAACTATTTTTATCGGGAATTAGTGTTTGGGCGTGAGTTTTTGGAATTGGGTTTTATCAAAGTTTAAAGGGTTTTGCAGAAAAAGAAGGAGGAAGAGAAAGCAAAAGAGAAGGAGCTTAATGATTTGTTTAAGGTTGCTGTTAGTCAGCCTAAAGTGCCAGCTGGTATGTAGTATGTCCCCCAACTCTCACATTTTTTTAATTGTTGTTTGGTGGTGGTCGATTATGTTGTGTTCGATAGCGGATTGGATTTGGAATGCTTGTAATCGAATTCGGAATTTGAATAGGTGTTGATCCCAAGTCTATATTATGCGAGTTTTTCAAGGTTGGACAATGTACCAAGGGATTCAAGTGCAAGTTTTCGCATGACTTGAATGTCCAGAGGAAGGGTGAAAAGATTGATATTTACAGTGATAAACGTGATGATGAAGGTGAGAAGGATGGAATTATCTTGTTTAATATTCTGATGCTAATATATCACATGTGATTTGCTTATTCTTTACTCATTATATTTCAGACACTATGGAGGATTGGGATCAAGCGACGTTGGAAAAGGTTGTGGAGTCAAAGAAGAATGAGTATAACCAGAATAAGCCCACCGAAATTGTATGTCTTTTTTCATACAGTAAATTATTTTTGATTTCTGATATAGAAGCTTTTAGTAAGATATTGGCAGTTGAATGTGTTGCTCTCCATCTGTCTCTAGATATCCATCTGTCTATCCCCATCCTTCCTCCCTACCCACCCTCCAAATGTTTTGGTGATTAGAATATGAAGGCCTTTCTGGGCACATTACCCACTACATCAATGATATGTTATTATGTTTCATGAAGGGAAAAAGAGAGAGAAAAAGAAGAGGGAGGCAGACTGGCAGAGCCTTGGTTGCATTGGACATCAGTCTTCACTTAAAACTAGTTTAGGTGGCGTAGGTCAGCTGTGCAATCCTTGATCCTAAGGGTTATGTTACAGTTTAAATTATTGACGTCACAATCTGATAGCTGATTTATGTCTTTGAAAGAAGAAGTCATCGATGACGGTATATGTTAAAATGCTCAACTTTATAGTGGGCTCAGGAGATCAATTTTCTGTCTTATGTACAAAGATTTGGCAGATGGATACTTTTACTTCTACTCTGTTTCAGTTGTGGGTTTTTGCTTTGCTGAATATTAACTAAGACGTATTCTTGTATAGAATTTGTATTGTTGCTTGAAAAATATTTGGGATTTTAGCTTGGGTTCCCTATTTGTAGGCTATGCTAGTGAGTTAAACTGGCTGGAGTTATTGAATAATAGAGGGGAAATTTTTTTTGTCCTTGAGATGAGAAAATATTTAAATATTAAAAATTGTGACAGGTAAACGGTAAATACTTTTTCTTATTTGGCCTAATCATTGGGTAGTGTGAAATCTTTGACTTTAGTATGCAGTATATGTTATGGATCTAAGCTGGTTTTTAATATGTACAGGTTTGCAAACACTTCTTAGATGCAGTGGAAAAGAAGCAATATGGTTGGTTTTGGTCTTGTCCAAATGGTGGAAAAGAGTGCCACTACAGACATGCTCTTCCTCCTGGTTATGTTTTGAAATCTCAGATGAAGGCGCTTCTTGATGAAGAGGCTGAAAAAGTTGCCATTGAGGATGAAATTGAAAATCAGGTGATGATCATATTGATTTTGTTGACTTTGCATTTTCATTTTGTCCATTTATTTGGTGATAGAATCATAGAAACCCTTTGTACATTTGTTGTGTATTGCATCCCTAAGTATTTTTAGCCTTGTTTCCTCTGTTTTATTTTTAATTCTTACTAATGCTCATCTGATGATTACTGCAGCGTGCAAAAGTAACAACCATTACTCCAATGACCACTGAGTTGTTCATGCAATGGAGGAATAAAAAGACAGAAGAGAAAGAGGCTGGCCTGGCCGCACAACGAGCAGAGAGGGCTAAGAATGACCGCATGAGGTTCTGTTTCTTTTATGCTTTGCATTTTGTGAATGTTCTCTGTATTATGCTATTGACTCAAGCTTTCCTGTATTTCAGTGGTCGTGAGTTGTTTCTATCAGATGCTACCTTGTTTGTGGATGATGCTGAAGCGTATGAAAAATATCAAAGACAAGATCCTGAGGCCGCTGAAGAGAAGGTAATATTTTCTTTTTATACTATGAATATAATCGATTTATGGACTGATAGTATGTCACTTTGAAGTCAGTCGCCTTAGTACGTCTCTGTACATCTTTTGGTATCGTGTTGGTAAATTTTAACTTCCAACATCTCATCGCTGACTTGTGTGAATTTTTTTTCTTATCAGTGAGTTTGCTTCCATTTTGGTATTAAGAGAGGTTTCTGTATCTCAAGTCAGCACGTTTTTATGCTACCAAAGAAAAGCATTGGCTTATCAAAAGAAATAAGTGTCCATAGAGGCTCTTTTTCTGGTCATTGTGGGCTGGTTTGTTATTTTTTTTTTGTTTTTGGGTTTGATTGCCTGGAAGTTATTATCTGCTAGGTGCATCACCTGAGTTTCTTTCTTTTTTGAAGGAAAAATGAAAGGAATTAATCTTTTTTTGTTATCTTGTCTCTAGAATACAAAGTTTGTGCAGTGTAATGGGATAGAAGTTTTAATGCTGGGTTTCTGGCCATTGCATAGGGCACAGAATGGCCGCAATTATAATGATAGTGCTGTGAAAAAATGGGTCAAAAGAGATCATGGAACATTCTTTTACATTTGCCAATGACCAAAATGATGTGATTGGAGCTATGCGATAAAATTTCTGTTCTTGACGTGATTTGCTTTTCAAATCCTTTTTCTGTCTCGTTATGCTTTTTATGTAGTTATGTCTCTCTTTGTTGGTTTTGTTTATAAGTAGATCATGGTCTCAAGGGTTTTTCTGGTGAGATTATAAAATTTTGATTACATGCATCAGGATCCTTTTAAGGGTGTATACGGTGTATGTCTTATCCCTTCTTTGTTCTATGTGTTGCTTGTTCCACGCATCCTCAGTAATTCTAACCATGAACTCTTTAAAGTGAGCGTCTGTGACTGGGTAAACTTGTGCTCTAACCCTTAACATGTCTACATGTGCTTGCACTCCATTTTAAGTGTTATTTGTTGACATGATATTTCATGCCACAGAGTGCTATTGCTTTACGTAATTCGTTTCAGTCTTTTTCATTCTTTTCCCTTCATCCATATTAGTTGTTTCAAAAGTCTAGGTGTATCCTGTTTTGAAAGAGTGGCCCCTGTTTGACTTGTAGCGTCTATAGGGGAAACTCTATGGTACATTTAGATAAAAACATGATCATAATAACACACTGTTCACTTATGTTAAAAGAAGTGATGACATCATGAGATTGCATGAGATTGAAGTTTGATATTGATGTGAATACACTATGGTGAGAAATTCTCAATACCATACGTAAGGTAGTGGTCTTTTCCAATGTGATAGAAGTTTTCATACCTTTTCTTTTAAGATACATCAGTGACACAATAACCGAAAGCTTCGCTTTGGTTATTCTCTTTTTGGTGCACAATTATTTTTATAACTCTGTAGAACTACATCTAGCTCTTACCAAAGGAACAAATATTCCGAAACCAGGAGCAATGAATATCCTGGGTGTTCTCTTGTATCCAGTGCTTTCTATTTTTTTGGTGAAATGTATCTTGTGCTTTCTTGAACTCTTAAGACTACCTATTTCAAATAAAGTCGGATGGTTCCCGTTTACATGGACAATTCAACAATTTCCCTTATATTGTGTGATCCCGTTTACATGAACAATTCGACAATTTCCATTATTTTATGTGATCTGAGTTTGACCGTGCTTCATTTCAGGCCAAAGACAACTCAGCAGCAGGAGGGCGAAGCGCCTCGACTAGTGCTGCTGGTTCTGAAGTTCCCGTCAATGATGACATTGAAGATGATGATGATGATGATGAGTTGGACTTTGATGAGTTAAATGAACTCGAAGCAAGTTTGTCAAGAACATCCATTCAGATACGCGAGCCAGGTATAGAGGCATCTTGAAGAGGGGCAGGGAGAGTAACGTTGACGATTTGCTTGTCGGGGGTGGAAAGAGACTATA